CAAATATTGGACACAAGAAGTATATTAAAATAGATTTAAATTAAGGGTTAATATAAGTTAGTTTTTAAATTAATCAAGTGTTACTCCAATAATTCTCTTAAAAGGAAACGGTTGTTAATAAAAAACTCTCTTAAACCTTGAAAAATTGAAGTCTGGGTAAACCATAATATTAGATGTATCTAAATTTTAAATAATATTCTTTTACTGCAAAGGGGTGTTAAAAAAGGATATCTTGTATTTTTAACCTAAATTTCTTTAAATCTATAATCTGAACAATAGTTGTTTTTGACATCCCATAGACGGATAGAGTTATCATCACTACCAGAAGCTAATGTATTTCCATCAGGAGAGAAACAGACTGAGTAGACCCATTCACTATGACCATCTAATTTGGCTTTTTATTATCCTGTTTTGACATCCCATAGACGGATAGACTAATCACCACCTCCATAATACCTATCACCTACAGATACTAATGTTTTTCCATCAGGAGAGAAACAAATTGATCTTACTTCATATCTATGACCATTAAATTTATTTAATTCATGGATTCTCAAGATTTTCCATTTACAATTAATTAATTATGCTCCATTCAGATTAATTCCAGTTATGTTGACATTATTAAATTAAGATCCACTAAAATTACAACTAACAAAATTAGATCCTACTAAAGAAGTATTTTAGATCTTAATATTTTACAAATTTTTGTTTCTAAGGTCCACCTTCATCTAAACTAATAAATATAATGAATTCGACCCGCCCTATATTAAAGCTTTATCAATAGATGTGAGTTGAACTAAGAATTACATTAATTCTTATATCTATTTATTATCCTTGATGCTTTAAATTAAACTTAGTATAGATTCTTCATTTTTTTCAGAAGAAAAGTCTTTGGAATTGAACTCATGATTTTTTATTTTTTTTTAATACATCTGTGATTTATTTCATGTCATCTCCAATAACAGACAATTTCTATTCTGTATCAGCTTTGGTGAAATTTCCTACTTGTTGTAAGATTAGTGATTCTAAATATCTCTGATTCCCAATATTTGATAGAAATCCAATGCAATCTTCAACTTTTCCTTTCTTAATATTTCTAATATGTCACAAAATATTTATTCATCGACATCTTTGACCTAAGCAAAGATGTCAGCTAGAGCTTCCTTCTCCTAAAAAGAGCCCTGCATTTTCTTTTTTATTATTAATAATGAATTTCTATTACTCTAACTTTAAGTTATATACTGCAAAATCGATAAAAGTATCTTGTGCATTTTTAATAAAATAAAAGTTCAGACTTTGTGTAGATTTGAAATTGGTTGGAATTGGTATAAAATATGCTATTGAGAAATCATTTCAACTTATGCATAGCTTTATTCTTAAATAATATGGAATAACTAATTTTTATATGAATATTTTAATTTTTACATAATTTGAGTTTTATAATTGATGATTTTATAGCAAAAAAATATGTAATTTTTCAGCAGGCAATTAGTCCTAAAACTCAATTGAAACCAATGTAATTATCATTATTGAATTTATAGTTGAAATAAAAATGGCTATTCATATAGTTTTTAAATTCGAACTTAAAGTTTAATATTCTAAAAGATTTTGGTAAATCATATAATCAAGATTATAATTTCAAAGAGTCCAACCGAAAAAAATATCCCCTCCCCACCTTTTTAAAAAGCTTAAGGAAAAAGTGAATATTTACTTTGGACAGGTCATTTTTACCTCAATTGATTAAACATTAACCTTCAAATTTGATCTTAGATTTGTACCCACTAACAATTGATTTATTTTTAATAAAAACACTGGAGATAATAATTTAGATGATTTAGTCATCTATTGGTATCCAAATTATGATTAGGACTTGGTTCTTCAGATTTCAATTGAGTGTAATGAAATATCAGTACCATTTTATACTAAGGATCCACCATATTTTATTCAGTCTTAAAATAACAATTATAAGTTGCTTGTTGACATCAACATTCTAATGTCAATTAGGTGAGTTTCTAAATTAGACAACTGGAGGGTGTATGATTAGTGATAAATTTCAAAATTAATATTAAGTAACTAGAAAAGCCCTAAATTGCAGTTACAAAGACGATACGTAAATTAGATTGATAGAATCTTCAATGATTGAATTAAGACTATATTATTGGAGAACCTATAACAATAGTTAAAATATTGAGTATTGCCATCACTTCCCTAAAAATTGTTAATGTGGATGGAAACCAGGAGATAAATCTTGTATTGTAGGACATATTGGCGCGTTGTGTGAATAGTGTGATCTCTATAATACAAGAGGTTAAGGGTCATTCTATTTATGTTCTGCTTATTAATGTTTAAATTGCAACATAACTATTTATAATATACTTTCGATCACTTTTGTAATCTTATGGACATTATTGTCTACTTTAAATTCTGCTAGCAGTACTTCAAGAAATAGTTACAGAATTTATAGCTAGGCTAAGATTAAGATTATTTGGGGTTAAATTTCCAATCAAAAAAATATCAACAGCTATACTAATAAAACTTTTGACCAACTACTTTTAAATAATTTCTACTCTCTTTACATTTTTATTAGTATTTCCAACTGATTTATCAGCTATTATTAATAGTTGAGCTAATCCTATTGAATCTATAGCTTTTTCTCTTGATTGCTACTTAATTTCAATTACTGATATATTAATTATATATTTCAGAGTTATCTGGAGTTTAATCATGGCTTTATCATATATTCTAATATCTATTGGATTATGTGCTTTAGCAATTGCACTCAAAATAATTCACCATGATTTTTCATTTATTACTAT